AGGGTCACGCAGGAGGATGCACATCGGCTAATGATGACTTGTTTTGCAGTTAAGAGGCGACTTTTGTGTTTTTCGCTTGTTTTCGAAGCTCAGCTTTGTCAAAGTCTGCAGCTCTGTGCTACACTCATCATTCACCTTCCTTTTCTATGTTTCACTGTGAAACAGCAGCTAAGAAAAGGCTTCAAACCCGTCTTGCACAAGATGATATATGTACAGTATTTATGCAGTATTGAGTGGGTTTTTTGTACTTCTTACTTGTTTCTCTACACGCCATTATCACATATATAACCCAGGAGAGGGATCTGTTCAAATTGTTAAGCTCTTATTTTGAAGTCAGATGCGTCTGAGTTATTAAAAGATGATAAAAATCTGTTTTTCAGGCCCGCTGCGAGTCAGAGCGCCAACGAGTCCTTCGGCACAGCGGGAGAGCACAACGACACCAACGAGGACACGTATGCAAACAGCTCCCAGGACAGCACCCTGGTGATGCGTGAGGTGAGTCTCCGTTTTAACCTTTGACCTTTGACTGCACAGAAACCGACACTCGTCATCTCTGCACCAGATTTGTTGCTTTTTTACCGAGTAGAGGGCCGTGATCGTGGTCTGTTTGCACAGTTTGCCCTCAGCTTTACAAAACAAACTGATTTAAACAGTTTGTTTAGAATATGCTTTGGGGCTTTTATTGTGAAAGGTCAGTTTGCGTGTAGACGGGACAGGTAGGAGAGTGTAAGAGGAAAACGCACAGAAAGTGGCCCAAAGCGAAGCTGAACCTGTGCCTCTGCACTAGGCCCAGTGAGCTGCACCTGAAAGCATCATTTAGAGGTAAATAACTGATTAACAGAACTATTGCACGTCCGTTTCTGTTTATTCTTCAAATAATCTTTGAACTCTGAAGGTTTTGGAGAAAACGATCTAAGAGACTCACCACAGTGTAAGTGTGTGTTAAAGGCAGCACAGACCTGATAACATGTGCCCACCCTCCCCAGTTTAAAAATAACACTGAAACAAACACACCTGCACGGGTCCAGCCTCCCTCCATCACCTGACCTGTCAAACAGCCTCGCTGCACAGTAGCCCGCCCCTCTCTCTCTTTTTCCAGAAACACAGGGAACGGAGGCGGAGCTCAACCGCCAGCAACGGTTTCCCCGGCAAACTGTTCTATGGCAGCGCCAATCTCCCCGATTTGGTGCAGCAAAGCACCTCCCCCCTGGTCTCTCCAGGGGATGCCTCTGGGGTCCAAGTAGGTGGAGCAGCACCCAGATATCGGCCCTGAAACCCTCTCCACCCTAAACCTCCCCGTATCCTGACAAACCTCAACCCTGCTCGCCCCGACACCCGCCCACACTCCCCATCACCAACCTGTCTGCTGCTTTATCAGGGTGGGAAATTACCAGCAGCCACATTTAAGGCTGAGATTATTGAAGCTTATGGACTAAATTAATAAAAGGTGCCATATGATTGGCCACAAAACCGAGCGCTTGTACAAGATCATCTTCTTGTGCACATCTGGAACGATTTCAACTCTGCTCATATATTTAGGCCACTCGGTTTTGTCTCCTTATACTTCCGATGAGCGGATCTCAGTGATCCTTTGCTTCGATCCTTTGCCAGTGACGCGGTACGAAAGGGTCTTTAAGGTGACTGTTGTTG